GGCCGCCGCGCCTCCTCCCGCCCCGCCCCGATATCGGCTCTGGCCCCGCGGCCGCTGCCGCAGCTTCGGTGCCGAGAAGGAGCAGTGAAAAGGAAACCAGACACAAAACCCGACAAAAACAATGCCACCGGCCCTGTAATTTTTGAGCCACCGCAGGTGAAGCCTAAGAAAGCAGGATGTGAGAGGGTGGCGCGGAGCCGGGCACTATGGCCCGGGTGGCAGCTCCATGGTCCGCAGCCGCAGCCCCCGGCAAGAGCGAAGGCTCTGACACGAACCAGCGCAGCTCAAAGGCTGCCCAGCCTGAAGGCGAACGGAGCAGGGAGCGGCTGAGGCGGTGTCTTGGACAGAGAGAAGGTTGTGAGAGCCTGACCCCAGAGCAGCTGCAAAGGCTGAGCGGGGGATAAAGGCACGGCCCAGCACAGCAGAACTGGGCAAACGCAGCTGCATTGAAGGCTGGATTTCAAGATGCTCGATGAGGACATGCACGCAGTGTTGAGCTGTGCACCCTGCACCAAAGCCAGGCGGCACTTCCAATCTGCAGGGCATCTGCAATTAGTTTTGTAAACACCGCATAAGTTTGGGAATGCCAAAACACACACCTGCCAGCAATGCTTTGAGCTTATTTTTACTAAGGAATACGGGGTTTGCTTAAAACCAGAAACAAGACAGAGCTGCTGAAATATTCTTGTGAACACATTATTTTAGCCATTAGAAATTGCCTACTTTTGCCCCCACCCCCATCAGCCATAGCTGATGAAGTGATCTTAACTCTATTTTTCTCCTTCCTGCATCTTACAACAGTGGTTACCTGATAGAGATAGAAAGCAAAATCTCAACAGGCACCAGCTTTTATTTCTATTATACACTGTAGGTCAAGAATTGAAAACCATCTGGCTGTACACGCATAACACATTAAAAATACAGTATTTTGAAAGATAATTGGTACTGATTTTTTTTCCTCTTTCAATACACAGTCTTTTAGTTCTATAGCAGACTCTTTTCATTCTTCCTTCATGAGCCATGCAGTGCATCAAATTCCCCTACAGACTTTGCAGCTCAAGGTGCAACCTGAAGCAAAACTTGTGTGCCAAATGCCAAGCATTATCCCATCTCTTAATATATCTGGAGTGATGTTGAGGGTGAAGGTTGGGAAGGTGACAACAGTAAGTAAACCTGTCACTTCTAAGGAAATAGGTACTGCTATGCTATCTTCTGCCACATTTTACATTTCACCTCCCCTCAGAGATGGGAAGGGATCCCCACACTACTCTCCATAAATTCTTCAGTTATCATTAGTCTTGATGAAGGTCCAATAATGAATCAAATATGCCTTTCTGATCTCTAACATGGTAAGCCCTTTTGCACAGAGGCCAGAAACCAATTACTCAGTGTTTGCCTCCATGCTCTACAGAAAGCACCATGTAAAAGGCTGTTTGGGTTGAGTATCAACAGCATTAGTGAGTCTGTTCCACCTTGTCACCATGCAACATGTAAGTGACATTAGTCCTAAAAGAAATACAACTTCAGCAGCTGTCGCTCACCTTACATCTCTCCTTGTTTATCACACCAGAAGCACTTGGCAATTATTTTGAGATGAGTACAGAAAGCTGGATAATGAAAAAAAATCAGTCTTTCCTTATTTCTTTTTCCAGAATTGTATGCAGTAAGATGAAGTTATGCTGGGCCCTTGGCCCCACTGTCCTTCTCTCCCTTACCTGCAAAGAATAATCAATTAAACACAGTATATTTGATAATATATATAGGACTACTGAACCCATTCTTGATTATAGGCAAGTGCTGAGTAATGTTTCTGTTTGCTCCCTGAGACAAACTAAAACATGCTTTTGTGCAGAAGTATGGTGAGTTTTAATAAACAATGCATTGGACAGTCTGCAAAGAGCACAACCCACACTGTTCCCTTTCTATAGACACCTTTGATCTGTCTCCTTTTGCTACATTACCCTTGTATCACTTCTCTAATCTTTTTTTTCCTTCCACAATCATCTGGGTCTTGCTCTTCTGCAGTCCTTAGAACAGCAAGTTCCACTCTCATCTTCTACACAAGTTCAGCACAGCCCCTGGTTTCAGCCATATCAACAATTAAGGCCTATTTAACTGTTGGAAAAAGTCTTTTGCTGACCTGGTGCCATCCAGATGGTTTTCACATCATCTAATGCTTGTAAAGGGATAATGCTTTTGCTAGAAGAATCCTCTTGCTGCTTCCTCAACTCCTTTTCCAAAAGGTTACACAGAAGCTTTCCTATAGGTGCCATTCAGCCTTTCCATGAACCTGCCTCAAGCAGCTGTGCTGCATTCCCACTCCAGGGAGAGGCAGAAGGGAACGCAGCTTTCCATTTCTTCCAGGTGGCTCTGCTCCCCTTTGGGACTAAGAGAAACTCTTCCTGGTCTCCCATTCTATTTCTGTACCAGACAATGGACATGGCCACAGCCATCTCAGCCATAGGCTGCCCAGAGTGGATACTGCCAGTTTGACACTGCTACACCAAAGGAAGGGAAGCATCAGGCAGCTAGGAATATGAGAAAGCAGGCGAGAGAAAGGTAGCTTACATGTCCTACTAGTAAAATAATACCTAGTTCATGTGCTTAAAAATTTCAGTATCTGTGAGTAAAGCCAAAAAATAAGACCAACAGGAAAGCCAATCTGCTGCAAAACTACTGAGCTTGAGAATGAGCAAGCAAGGACAAGTGCATGAACTCTATCCTGGCAAGCTCAACAATACAAGACAGCTGGAGAGCCAGTCTTGAAAACACTCCAATATCACATGTATTTCCCCTAAACTTCAGGTTGATGGGGCTGTAGGAACTACTGATGTAAAGAAGAAAAGTGAATTCTGTTGTAGAGTTTCCCAGTGTCTCCTGTTTCTCCCCAGGTCACACAGACTTTAAGGCATAAGCAGTGGTAACCTGCTCAGCACATATTCCACACAGAAAACATGCTGCAAATGCTCAAGGGACTGGGTAGCTTCAGCTGGTGTAACAATGGATAGGAAATTTCCCAAAGGCTGCTGCTTGAATGCAGTTCAGCACAATGCCAAGCAAAGAGCCCTGACTGCTGGACTGCTGCTCCTCACAGCAGTACACTGTCTGAGAATTGTTTAGGCTTTTCTAATGCTTTTTTTTTTT